AAAAAACTTTAAAACTAGCAAAATATGCCATTTTTGCCTTTTTAACTTCCCTGATTGGCCGGTAGAGTTTATTCTCACCATTATTTCCGATCCATTAGGAAGACACGAGTGATATGCTCACATTTTAGAGTATGGTCTTTTTGTCTGAAAACAAAACATCTAGGTCGGGAAATTTTTTGGCTTCACGATGCCGCGTATTTCGACAAGGTACGAATCGCCAGTTCCGTGCTCGTAGTTGGTGGTGGACTAATAACAACCCTTCCGACGCGCCTATATGAGGTAAGTGAACGCAGTCTCCTCTTTCACTTTGAGCAGACCCAATCCCTTATTTTTGTTAAAGAACAGTGCTGAGCATATCCTCTAAGGTCACTAAAATGTTCTCAGAAATCTACTCCCACACCGCACTCCCCCATCCCATGGGGAAGTGACAAAGAGATGGTCAATACAGGATTACAGCCCATAGTTTGGGCATTTGAAACAGAGAGCATTTGTGCAAAAAGCGGGTAAATTGTCTTGGATTTGTCAAAAGAGAAATATAACGGGGCTGTTTGAGCGAAGTCGGGACATGGTGCCAACTGGGGCCAAAGGGAACATGCCCATTCTCTTGCCACAATTCTTGCATTCACCCGACACCTCGGAAAGCAGCTTTGGCAACTCAACAATTAGACGGCATGATCGAGTAATCGTGGGACACTCCCGTTTTCTCCACATGGTACTCCGCGTGGGTCGAATTCAAAGCAGAACGTAAACTTTATTGACTATGCTTGGTGCTGCCAATGAAAAAGTTGAAGGAAAGTTGCCTCTTGTGCTCTTCTTGCTCTTTCAAATGAAGTTGGAGTCATTCACGTGGCATTCCGTGAACACAGAGTGGTTAATGCCAGGGAGAAATGACTTTGCTCCAAGCGAATGGAAGTAGTGGAAAGAAGTCCTCGGCATTGTCAACAATTGACGAACGGATGTGTAGACTTGTACAAATAAGGCAGAAGTTGAGGAATTAGATGCACAAAATGACTGGCGGAGGGTGGAAGGCATTGCTGATGATCATAAGCTCGGTATGCATGCACATTTGGGTTGAAGGGGTTGCCATTCGGTAGTAGACGCTGGAAATGTCCGTAGTACGGCATGCAGTTCACTTACACCGTTCTGGCTCCCCTCACTTGCGCAACCATTCATTCCAGCACCGCAAGGGTTACTGAAATATTCAAGACAACGGCGGTGACGCTGCTTGTGTTGAGACCACTCAGACGGAGAGGAAGACCACGGAGGCACATCATAAGCAGTCCCTGTTGTCAGAACAATGCCGACGAATAAGTGATATAGGAGGTGGCTTGTAATGTTGGGAGTTGTTCCATATCAAGATTCTGAAAGCAGCAAAACCAATTTAGGCCTGGAGAAAGGTGTCAGTATGGAACCATCTAGATGCCGAGCCTGAATCGCTAGCATTGCAGAGGGACTATTCCCTCGCACATTTTCATTATGGAGTAGTTCCTTGTTAATCAAGTGGCGAGAAGCAGGCTTGTGGAGAGTCTGCCGGGAAAACTGCCGGATTGGTAGACTGTGAGAGACCACAGCCACCCCCGAAAGGGTAGCCTGCTTCGAGTGTCCACAGGTTTGGGTGTCGCACTTTCGTTCAGAGAAAACTTCAATCAACACCTCACGCTGCTACCTACTGTTGGTGTCTGCAATGGTCAGGACTGGAATGGCACATGACATGAGTAGGAGTAGCATGTGGAAAGGTGTGGTCGATGGATTGGAAGTCTTAGCCTGCATTAAACACCCTCTACATAACATGTGAGCTGCACGATTTGCCAGTAGCCAATTTATGTTATCAAATATAATCTATTTTAGAAGATCGAGGACTGGATCCAACGTCGCCAGAGCCCAATAAGTGTCCATCAGTCTGCCTCCACAGCACCCAGCTCAGTAGCTGTGGCGGCAACAGCACCTTCAGTCGCAGTATCAACAGGAGGTGAAGCTTTGGGCACTACTACAACCACCACCACCACCACACAATCCATAAAAGCAACTGCATCTCTTGCCGGTAATCTCATCGCTTCACCTGCCAACGAATCCACGAATCGACGAACAACCCTGGTACTACCAATGACTCGACGACGTCTATTTCGAAGCAGCAGTCTCTCCGTTAACCGTGGGAAATGACGATGTGCATTAGAGAGCAGTTGCTGGTATATTTCACTTGTCAATTTTCGACGTTGACGCCTTGAATGAGGAGAAAGCACTAAGAGACCGCTTTCTGCCCTGTGTATGAAAAAATTGGAAATGTCGACTGACATTTGCCCCATATTCTGCAAACGCACATTTGTTGGCACCATTCAAAGTCTTCTATCGGCGATGTATTTGCACCTGCTGAGGTGAAGGGAGGTTGTCGTGCCGCATTTTTAGGGATATCACGTGATCACTTCTGTCACTCTGGTGTAAGGATGCAACCAAGCTTGTGCGTGGACTGCATTGAGGAGATGGGAACTGCACCTCTCATCCGGTGAGTTGCATTGTTAGCAGAAGTTGTGTGCGTACACCGTACCAGGAGCACAGTTTCATCTCTATTGGGCGGAGAGGGAGGGTCAGGGGAGGCAGGAACGGGGGCACTGAAACCACTCGACAATTGGCTTAGGGGGAGGACATTGTCAGTAAGCCTTGTACGCCCAGTGAAGTACGGGTGCAGACAAAACCACGGGAATGTAGCAGGGTCAGTGGGGAGAATTCGAGAGGAATGAAGCTTGACGAGTGAAAAGCACGCACTCAGGATAAAGTGTTCTTTAAATGGAAATACATAAAGTGTCTGATTATAAATGGAGGAAAGGCTGCCTGAATAAAGGATTGACTAATACAGATAGCTCATGCAAATGACACAGGATGATCTAAGGAGAAGAGGAAGAAGAAGGGGAAGAAGAAGAAGAAGAAGAACGAATTTCAGGCAGCGGAGCCTTTAATTATTTACTGACATGACCTCTTGCCAAGCAGACTTGTTAGAGAGGCTGAATAATTCGACCCTAGACATTCTCAGCTCAAAGGGACAAATTCACGAATTTTGTGCCTTGTTTGACAGCGGAGGGAGAGATCTACAGAAATTTATTTGCTCGTAATGAGGGCATGCAGAAGATGCTA